CTCTCTCTTTCTCTCTCTCTCTCCCTTCCTTTCCCTCCTTCACTCTCTCCCTCCTTTCCTTTCTCTCTAAAACAGCCATGGGCAAACTACGGCCCGCGGGCCAGATCCGCCCGTTTGAAATGAATAAAACTATTGGAAAAAAAGACCGTACCCTTTTACGTAATGATGTTTACTTTGAATTTATATTAGTTCACACAAACACTCCATCCATGCTTTTGTTCCGGCCCTTCGGTCCAGTTTAAGAACCCATTGTGGCCCTCGAGTCAAAAAGTTTGCCCACCCCTGCTCTAAAATCAATGAACATTGAGGGCAAAAATAAATCTAAAATGAGGGCTAAGTAACTAAATAGCAGAAATAGAGGAACAGACATGATTGAAAATCCAACTTAGAAAATTGTAAAATGAGTTCATATGAGCAAAATGACAAAAAAGATAAAGATTATAAAAAAAATGTTATAAGACCTGGATGAGAGATCCAGAGGTTCTATACCCATCTGTGACAGACACTTGTACACTGACCTGATGATCCCCTTTTCCGGTTTTCTTCCTTGCCTTCCTCTGCTACAAAAAAGAGAGAGTGAAATAACTGCATCCCAGCAACTCAGCAAACAAATGGCTTTGTGACACAGCTGGGCCAATAACACACAGGTGCAGTCCTGAGGACACTGCACCTTCCCCAGATGAACAGGCAAAGCCTCAGCGGAGTGCCTCTTATGAGGATCGGGGAGCGAGAGAAGCAGACTTGGCCAAGGCCAAGGAAACAGAGCCAAGCAAGGACTGGTCTCAGCTGAAGACCTGCTGACCCCTGGGGAAGCTCTGGAGGACAAAGTGCACCACCGAGCTGATCTCATCTTGAGTGAGAGAACGGGGTTAGGGAGGGTGGATGCACAGACAGGTGCCAGGGAAAAGGGATCTGAGCAGGGTGCCAGCAGCATTCACTACATTACGTCTCTATTCAACGTAGGGGAACAAAAATTAGATGACAAAGCTAAGAGCTTCGAGGAACAAAGAACAACATATTTGTTTGTATAAGTAAAGAATATTGCTATAAGTTTAGTATCCAAGCAAGTGCAAATGCTGAGCCACTGCACTCCTTATGTGACTTGCCAGGGCCCTATAAATACTGGCATTTGCACCCTGAATTACATGCTGTTCGCTCCCCTGAACTCATGAGGGAACTGAATGCTCCAAGTTAACTGGCAGGAGCAGGACAGTGTTCTTCAGTCTAAAGACTACACTGAAATATCATGGAGCCAGTTTAGGGAGAATAGGAAATGTCCAAAATAACAGGATACAGAGCAAAACATTATACACCATCAGTACTAAGCCCATTACATCACAGGCAGAGTTATTATTGTGATAACCAATGTGTAGTAACTCTTATAATGACATAAAATAATCCTTTGGAAGTCAATAATGAATTGACCAAGAATAAATTTGAAAATGTCAATACAAATAAATCTATAAATAAGATTTTTTAAAGTCAGAAAATATTATTTCATCATCTTAAAAATGATTATGAATGTATACCAATAGGTCAATAACATGATTAAAAAATATATATTAAGAAGTGTAGAGGTCACTGACTCTCAGAGTTTACATACCTCAGAACTGGACAGCCCCGAATCTCGGTCATCTAAGTCCTTCAGAAGTTCAACCAGCCTTTTCTTCTCTCTGTCAATCATAACCTCTGGTTTCCCTGAATTCTTGGCCAACTACAGAATGTATTAATGAAACATATTAAAAACTCAAAGAAATTCATAGTTCAGGAAAATAAAAATGAAACCTGAGGTTACTAAGTATAGATACACAAAGTAAAATTCATGAGATTAGGCATTTTCATTTGCCAATTAATTTTATTTTATGTCAAATTTTTGGTATAGGTCTGTTCTCCAAGCAAAGATATGTCCACTATAAGTAAGCCCTCATGTTAACCTTTTTAACAAATGTTTTATTTATAAAATAAAACACAAGCAATTTTCTCACCTCTCTTTATATTATATCAATGCAAAAAACATATTTGCTGGGGCATTCATTTCTGGTTTTTGGAATAAATGTGATGAGTAGGAGAGGATAAGATAAAATTAAATAGAAAATAGTAAAGTACTGGTTCATAAAACTATTCTTTCAGTCACATATGCTGTTTAGATCATATACATGTATCACAGTCAAAAAAAATATTTAAAGACACTAAACACAACTATTTCCATTACCACAACTCATGTAGTCCACATTCTGGCTTCTAGATTTCTAAATACATACCTCAATGTTTCTCTTAATAAAATCCTGGCTGTGTTTACCCCTGAGCTCAATCTTTTCTGTATTTGAGAGGGGGTTCTTTTCTGCTTTGATCAATGACTCATTTCTTTCCACATCACAGGTAAAATCTAATATTAAAAAATTCAAAATTTTTCATAATTATAATTGTCATTATGCTAAAATTTTACCTTAAGCATATATAAGTAAAACAAACATTAGAAGAACTTCTAATTTCCAAATCCAGAAACTTAATATATAGAGATTCTTAAAAAGATAAATGTGCTACATAATTTACAATGAAGTTCTCATAAAATTTCTGTTATTCACTATCATGTATCAAACTGCTTGCTGTTGATTCCTTTGGAATCATGGGGAATGTGAAAAGAACCATGATTCATATAAAAAAGAAAGTTCTGATGTTATGGGAATTTTAAAATAAATTTTACTTTAGTCTTTATATGAAAGAGAACTTTCCCTGAAAAACTAGATTCTTTATTAATTTGCCATCACCCTCTCAGAGCAATCAACTTTTTGTTCAAACCTGTCTTTTAAGCAAGATCTGGGCATAAGTGTCCTGGGTGTTCTGCAGCCTATCATCACAAACTCCTGAAGCCCATCCTACTTTGTCAGTTTTCTCAACCATTAAGTCAGCCTCTGAGTTGTTCATATCCTGAGTGCTCAAAACAAGGGTAAGAAAAATGCTTATGCGCTATTATTCCCTTTATCAAACACTTGAGGCCCAATGCATGCCATTCATGCACTCAGTGGGGACAGGGGGAGTCCCTCAACCTGGCCTGTGCCCTTTTGCAATCCAGGAGCCCTCGAGGGATGTCTGACTAATGGCCGTCAGTCGGACATCCTTAGCACTGCCGTGGAAGCAGGCCACTGTGCTCGCCAGCCATCAGCCTGGCTTGTGGCTGAGCAGTGCTCCCCCGTGGGAGTGCAATGACCACCAGGAGGCAGCTCCTGCATTGTCTGCCCGCTGGTAGTCAGTAAGCATCATAGCCGTTTGGTCGATTTGCATTTTACCCTTTTATTCTATAGGACTAGAGGCCCAGTGCACAGGTGGATTCCCTCAGCCTGGCCTGTGCCCTCTTGAAATCCAGGATCCCTCAGGGGATGTCAGAGAGCTGGTTTCTGCCCAATCTGCACAGGCCAGACTGAGGGACCCCACTGGTACAAGAATGCTTTAAAACTATGCATTAGTTTAAGAAGGAGAGTCTTCTTAAATGACAAGTGGAGTCCACCTTACAAAATAGGATAGATTGCCATATTCAAGTCCAAAAGGAAAAAACACCAGCCAGCAGCTCAATCCGGACAAGGTTTACTTAAAAGTTATCTTTGTTTTACAAGAGAGGTTACCTCAATAAAAAGTATTAATGGTATTTGTAGCTAATTATCCAAGATTTAATACAAATTTAATCATTAAACAATAAATTTTAATATCTGTAAAGAACCAGAAAAAGAATAGTATCTTTGGTTTTAAATTCTTTTCAAACAAAAATAAGTTTGAGTAAAATCAAGTTTTATTCAAGGTTAAGTTACGAGTTTCTAGACAAATACATCTATGCTTTATAATTGGGGTTTTATGTTCTAATCAATTATATAATTTTTTAAATCAACTACCAATAGTTAAAGTAGCAGTTACTGTTTTGGTGAATGGTTTCCTTAGATATAAAATATGTAACTTTTTTCCATAATCCAAGTTGTAAATAATCTTCTAAATTGAAATATAAGGTCCATCATACAGTTGAAGTTTCCTGTACTCTTAAATAATACAGCATTAAAATAACTCGAATTAAATGCATCCAGATCTACATAAGAGTTTCTTTAAAATATACTTTTAAAAAATTGTAGACAACATTCGATTGTTTGGTCAAAATTATCTCACTAGATATGTCCTCTTCTCCTCTCCATCCTGGTGGTGATCCCTGGTAGAAGCTGCCATATTCCTATAGAGACCCAACCCATACTGGGTAGGAGGAGTTGGCTGGACCAGCAGTAAGCACTAACCCAAGTTGAATCAGTTGGTCTCTAAGATTTTGGAATAGAGTCTCCTTCTCAATGACAATATGATCTTGGGAATAAAAGAGAATGTCTACCACCAGGATTCTTTCCATACATTTTCTTTTTTGCTTTAGCTAGGTTTTCATTACTTGCAGCCAGCTTTCCTTTAACTCTTTTTATATAAAATTTTAAACATCCTAAAGTAGAAAGAATTGTATAATGGATCCTCAACAACTGATTAACAATGACCAATCTAGTTTCATCTAGAACCTCACCTACTTCCACCCACTTCCTGATTAAATCACATCAAATTATCTCATCTGTGGATATTTCTGTATATAGCTAGTACTTTCCTGTGATGATATGTAAAAAAAAAAAATCACACAAATTCAAGCATACCTTGATTGGCATTCTGCATTTGGTTTTCATATTCTTCTGGAGGTACTTGAGTATGAAACACTGAGAAAACTGTGTCTTCATGCTTACAGCGAGAAGGATCTATTGATTTTTAAAAATCTTTTGTTTAATACACATAAAATAAATAAGGAATTGTGTACATAATTTTGATATCAAATCATGAGAAAAACATATATGGTGGAATTGAACAATTAAGTAAAGAGGTGGCCAATAGTGAGAGCCAGATTTCTCCCTGTTCGAGTGAAGGTTACAGAAGAACAAGGGGAAAAGGCTAGAATGATCTATTTGGTAATAAGATCAGAAACATCAGTATGGACTAATTTTTATCTTAATATAGATACAGATGGTTACAAATAGAAATATGTATAGATAGGTTATTATACAGATAAATATTTCCTTTCTTGGGGGGCCTCGAATTAACAACTCCCTGACAACACACCTAACATCCAAATCTTGGTTTCCAATATTTTTCAATCAGAGGAACCAGGCTTCCTTGGAAAAATGGCTAAATCTAGGACTCAGGTAGGATATATAGTAAATGAGTCTGGAGCATCTTCTAATGCCAGAAAGTAAGAAAGTGCTCAACAACCACAACAAAACAAAACTCAAATGATGGGGGTATGTCTAAGAGACATAGGAGTCAACTGAAAGAGCTCCCAATGGCCAAAGCTGGAAAAATTTTGAGCAACAAAATAATGTGCTATAGGATTATAACACAAAGTATACAATAAATATCCATTAGTCTATACTGATATAAATAAATAAGCAGGGAGAATATACAAATCCCCCTTGCAGAATAATTCAAAATAATGTATGTGAATACTCTGCCTTCAAGGAGGTAAAGTTCAACTCCCTACTTCTTAGGTATGATCTGAGCATAGTTACTTCTTTCCAAAGAGGGCAGTATGGAAAGGGGGTAAAAACAGAGGAAGTTTACAATGAAGAAATCTGACGAACACTTCCTCAGCCAGCTGACCGAAGTTAACATCAATGGTTATAAATTATGTTGATAGGATGATGTGATGTAATGGAAAGGCACTTTCACTCTTTGGTCTTCCAAGAACATACAACCCTAGTCAGATCATGAGAAAAACATGACAAATCCCAATTGCTGGAAATTCTACAAAATACCTGGCTAGTCCTCAAAACTACCAAGGTCATCAAAAACAAGGAAAGCCTGAGAAAGCACATAGTAAGAGAAGCCTAAGGAGACATGAGGAGTAAATGAAATATGGTATCCAGGATGAGATCATGGAACAGGAAAAGGACACTAGGTAAAAACTAAATGTCTGAATCAAGTATAGACTTAAGTTAATAATATGTCAATACACATAGCTTATCTCACTTATAAATGTAGATGCAAAAATTCTGAATAAATCAGCCATTCAAATGTGGTACTGACTTAAAAGAAGAATTCTCCATAACCAAGAAATATTGACCCAGGAATAAAAGATTCATTAAGTATTTAAATCTATTAATTTTAAAACATTAAATAAGTTTGTCAAGTAAGAAAAACTTTAGGATAATTTCAATAGGCTTTGAAATGCATTCAATAAATTTCAACACTGAATCCTTTTAAAGTTCTCAGAATATGAATAATTGTTATAATTATTGAAAAGAACATCAATAACCCCAATAAAAGTGAACATCAGAGAAGAGAGAATTAGGAAAGAGAAAAGAGAGCAAAAATGATATCAAGAAAAGAAAAAAAGGTAAGAGGCGAAATAACAACAGACCCCACAGAAATACAAAGGATTGTAAAAAAAATAAAATAAATACTATGAACAACTCTATTCCAACAAAATGAACAACCTAGATGAAATGGACATATTCCTAGAAAATACAATCTTCCAAAACTCAATCAGGAAGAATCAGAAAATCTGAATAGGCCTATAATCATGGAAGAAATTGAAGCAATAATCAAAAAACTTCATCAAACAAAAGCCCTGATCTGGACAGCTTCACAGGGGAGTTTTACCAAACATTCAAAGACCTAAAACCTGCCCTTCTCAGATTATTCCAAAAAATTCAAGAGGAAGGCATACTTCCAAGCTCTTTCAATGAAGCCAGCAACCCTAATCCCAAAACCAGATAAAGACACTGCAAAGAAAGAGAGTTATAGGCCAAAATCCCTGATGAACATAGATGCTAAAATCCTCAACAAAATATTAGCAAATCAGATCCAGCATTTTATCTAGAAATATCATACACCATGATCAACTAGGATTTATTCTGGGGATGCAAGGCTGGTACAGTATTTGTAAATCAGGAGACAAACATACTCAGTGGACAAAAACTAAAACCATTTCCCCTAATAACAGGAACAAGACAAGGATGCCCACTTTCACCACTCCTGTTTGACATAGTACTGGAAGTAGGAGCCATAGTGATCAGACAAGAAAAAGAAATAAAAGGTATCCAAATTAGAAAAGAAGTAAAACTGCCATTATTCACAGACGACATGATTTTATACATAGAAAACCCTAAAGACCCGATCAAAAAACTACTAGACTTAATAAATGCATTCAGCAACAAGATACAAAATTAATACCCAAAAATCTATGGCTTTTTATAAACCAATAATGAACTCACAGAAAGAGAAACTAAAAAAACAAACAAAACAAAAAAAAACCATTTACCATTGCACCAAAAAATTTAAGATAACTAGGAATAAACTTAACTAAGGAGGTAACAGTACTTGTACTTGGAAAACCACAGGATGTTGAAAAAAGAGATAGAGGAAGAATAAACAAATGGAAGGATATACCATGCTAACAGATTGATAGAAGCAACATCATTATAATGTCCA